CTGCTGCTGACAGAGCTCTGAGATGGTCCTTTTGAAACTGCCCGTGTGCAGCACCCACCCCAGAAAGAGCAGAGTTTCTCCTCTTGAGCAAGGCTAATCTCTTGTAGTGGTGTTGAGTGTAAACCCCTTCTATCCAGTCGAGATGGTGGAGCCATCGCGTGAAAATCTGAAGTTAGTTTAGACACGTGAAACAAGCAGCTCATGTTACAGACAGGGTTTAAGGCAGGATTTGCAGGATATAAAGCGCGTATAGATTTCTGTAAAATCAGGCCAGCAATGCAAAGAAGCCAGCGAAACCCCCGTGATGGGGCTCTGTCTGCGCTGCCATTCTGCTGCTCCTGCTGCCACCACGCTGCCTGCCCCAGCGCTGCCTCTACCCGTCCCAGGGCACCTTGTGCCCCCTCCGCCAAAGCGCTCCAATGGTCTTATCATTGCCCTGTACGGCTAGGGGGCATTCAAGGCCCAGGCACAAGGTAGAAAACTCTGCTAATTCTACCACAAAACCGGTGGCTGCAATGCTAGACCGAAACTCGGGCATGCGTACTCTGCTTTCGCTCTGCTCAAACAGGCAAACTCTCCCGGAAAAGTTCCAGCGGATACTTTAAAAGCAAATCAAACAATGTGTTTAAAGCACATATGCAGAAGAAAGCTAGAGAGGCAGTTCCTGCAGGAAAACGGCAATTTTATACCAAAACTCTTTATCTTGCAAAGAAGACTATAAATCAGCCCTTCGCTGACTGGAGAAGGAAACTGCAGCCCGGCTCCACCGAGCACCTTGCGTTACTGGGGGTGTTTGCTCTCAGCGTCACCCTGCTGTTGTCCTTTGCCAGTGTTCTCGTTTCTGGCAGTCGCTGCTGCTTCTCCTCTCCGCCACCGCAGCCAGCGGCCGCCTCTGCCGAGCAGCAGAACTCCCGTTCCCAGCAGGCAGGACACAGACCTGCCGCCGGGCTCCGGCAGAGCCCGAGCGCGTGAGCCCTGCGCGACCTCCGCGGCCTCTGCCCGCGCCGGGCGGCTCGCACCTCGGGGAGCCTGAAAACGGGACGCGCGGAGGGCGCGGGGCAGAAACACCAAAGCTTCGGCCAAGCTCCTGAGCTCGGTGCCAGCGCTTCTGGGAGCGATCAAAGCGCTACAGCAACTGCACGGCCAGCACCAGCGTGGGACCGACACGAGACCTCCCAAACGAGCCGAGGAGCCGCTGCATGAAAGGCGACGGGCTGGCCGGCAGCAGCAGGCGTCACGGGCAGCGATGGAAAGAAACCCCAGGCAAGTGATTGCCAACAAATCTCTAAGGGCTAGCTCGTATATGAGAAAAGATGGAGCAGAGTGGGAAAAAAGAAATGATTTGTTAGGAAATGTGCGCTAAAATACTTCCACTTATAGTGCTTACATATTTATATATATATACTCACACACACACACACACATATATATATATACATACACATGCACTATATATACATATATATAGAGTGAATTAGATAAACACTGAGCTTTGGTATGTCCTGCAGGATACCAGGAACATACTTTGCTTTTAAATCATTAAAATCTGAATAGTACCTGCATTGCCCATGTGTAACAGTCCCTTGCAGCACAATATAAAATAAATTAACAGTTTCAACTCCCTGTGTTATGTCTTCGTACCAAAGGGCAGAAAAGGAAAGATGTTTTATTTAAGAAAAAAAATCACCTTACAAGGCATAAGTATAAAATATGTAAGAGACCTGAGAATACTTTCTGCAGTCAAATCCACATTCCAGGCAAGAGATACTGAATTACAAGTTCTGCCAAAATCCTCACGGACTCAGTTAAGAGCATTGGCTCCCATTCTGTTGCCATAAACATCTTCACATCTTGCATTTGAAGCCATCCCTTACATAAGACTTTTAAAGTACATTAGAATGTTCTTTAGAACCTTCCTTACTTAAACTGAAGGCAGAGAGGAAAAGTTTGCAGATGGGATATGATCCAGCTTTGCAAAAATGCATTTGTTCCCTAATTCTTATTCTAAATAGATGCTTTTTTTTCTCTTTCCAAAATTGAAGTCAATAATAAGCAGGCTGTTTTTCCCCTTATTTCTGAGCCTCTGAACATCTTTGCCTATTCCACATCTTTTCCCCCTTTATTATGCAGAATTTTCATCATTGGTCTAGCCAGTTTTATACGGTTTATAAAGAATTCCATGTGCTCTTTACATCATTTGTCACCTAAAATGCAAACTCCTTGAGGAGTCAGAAAATAAACTGTCTTCTACCTGAAAGGGGCCAACATCTATAATTCGGGTTCCTCACACATCTATTCCACCCCTCGGTAGTTTTTGGACGTACCACATCGCAGTTATCCAGTGCAGATCCTGTTGTACTCACTGACCTCCAGGAACCCTCTGCAGAAGCTTCCCCCAAGCCTCCTCCCACAGCCTAGATCTCCTCTATTAACTTACAGCCGAGTTCCCTTTGGAGAAACCCACGGACAAACACACAAAAAATTATGATGTCTGTCCATACTATTCTAGGCTCCCAAGTTTGCATACTTAGAATATTAATTAGGCCATATTTATTTAATGCCACATGGCCACACTGCAATATTCCGTAAATAAAGAGCGATTCAGAAGTGGGATTCCGGCCTAGCACAACACGGAGAGGCCAGACGTGGAGGTTGAACTTCCTTAGGAAGGTCTGCAGCACTCACTGATGCCTTGGAGTTCATTTCCTTTTCCTCTTGTCCCCTTCCCTGCACCTGCTGACCTGGGGCACCACATCCATTCGCAATGTAAAGCAGCTAAGCTTTGCCATGGGGCAGTTTGCTACCGCCCTTAACGCATAATCACGTGGAAATTTCTAATTCAGTGACTGTGAACAAATGTGATGCTTTTCTAAAGTCATTTTTAAGGCAATTTCATGGGTAAAAATGAGTGAGGAAAACATGTCTACTTGCAAATATTTGCTACGAGCTCTGTTGATATACAATTTCATGGGTAAAAACGAGTGAGGAAAACATATCTACTTGCGAATATTTGCTACGAGCTCTGTTGATATATTTTCACCCTGTTTCTTGTCCAGATAAAAATTGACAGCCTTTATGAAGCCAAATACTAAGCCCTGTGGGTGAGAATA